ATATAAGATATATAATTATATCTAATCAAATTTTAATAAGTGAATTTTAGGAAAGAAAATCAGACATTTAAAAAGACTTGCATTATAATACACTTGTAACCTTGATTATAAACTTTTTGATGTAAAATAAACATTTTCTAAAATAATCCAAATGGCTAAATAGCTACCCATACCTTCTCAAATAATCTCATTTCATCTCAGGAATAGCATATGTCCTATTCACAAGCTGTCTTCTAGAATTTTAATTTTAAATTACACTTGTTATTTCCCTCCTTTGTGTGAGAAAAGCATATCAGAATAGTTACATCAGATAAATATTGAACATTCTCAGAGTGTTCCTAGAAACAAGACATTTTTCTTCTTGCATCTTATCAGATAATAGCCTCTATTTAGCCTTGCCGGGAATTCACTGTAATTTCCAAACTCTATTTATTCATTTATGATACAGATGAACTCGCTTAGTAAGAGTTAGTTGCGATCTCTGGTTCACAGCTCTAGTCTGGTATAGTTTAATGTGGACAAATAACATGAGTAAACAAATCTGTTTATGCAAGAAAATAACTCAAAATAAGATACAATAAAAGATTTAAAGAAATAGAAAAATGTGGCCTCTTCATGGATAGAAAGACTCAATATTATGAAAATAACAATCTTAGCAAAAGCAATCTACATATTCAATGCAATCTGAATACAGATACCAAATTCATTTTTCAAAGAGATCAAAAGGGAAACTGTCAAGTTTATTTGGAGAGGAAAGAGATCTCAAATAAGCAAAACACTTCTGGAAACAAAAATGAAGTGGGAGGCATAGCACCCCCTGACCTCAAAACCCACTGCACAGAGGTAATAACCAAAACAGCATAGTACTGGTACAATGGCAGTCATATAGAGCAGTGCAACAGCGTTAAGAACCCAGAAATAGACCCAGCTATCTATGGTCAACTGATATTCGACAAGGAAATAAAATTAAATGAGGAAATGGCAACCTCTTCAACAAATGGTGCTGGCAAAACTAGACTGCTACCTGCAGAAAGCTGAAACAGGATTCACCTCTCATACTACACAAAAATCACCTCAAGGTGGATCAGAGACTTGTGAGCAAAGCCCAAAACCATAAAGTTCATAAAAGACAAACTGAGATCAAGCTTAGAAAGCCTAGTCTACGGTATAAAGAAATTGCCAAACACAGTCAGAAATGCATGATCTGAAGAGGATAAGATTGATAAATTGGACCTTCTAAAGATTAAATCCCTATATGCATCAAAAACTTTTCCCCAACAGGGTGAAAAGAAAATGTACTGACTGGAAACAAACATCTGGCAAGATCATCTCAAACAAGAGTATAATAATGAGAGTTTATAGAATACTCCTGGGCCTCCATAAGAAAAAGACTGATAACCTACAAAATGGGCAAAAGACATGGAAAGAATTTTCAGAGAAGAAGATATTCATATGGCAAACAGTCATAAGAAAAATTATGCTCCAAATCACTGACAATAAGAGAGATGCAAATCAAAACCACAATGAAATATCATCTTCTTCCAGTAGTAGTGGCAAAGTTTAACAGGACAGCAAGTATTGAATATTGGAGAGAATGTGATGAGATAGGACCTCTTACACATTGTTGGTGGGATTGTAAAATTCTATTTCATTGCTTGGAATATACCCCAAGAAAATGAGAACTGAGGCTCAAACAGAAACTTGTACACCAATGTTCACAGCAGATTATTCACCACTGCCAGAACAGGGAAACAGTTCAGATATCCAATCACAAATGAATGGATTGCGAAATTGTAGTACATTCAAGAATGGAATACTATGCAGCACACAAGAGCAATGATTTTGTAAATTATTACCTAACTTGGGAGGGAAAGAATTATGCTGCGTGAACTACCTCATTCCCACAAGGACAAATACTGTACAAACCATTCTTGTAGAATGAGTATGAGGATCCAAGGAGGGGAGGAAGGTGGAAGCAAAGGGGTGAGAATGGGCAGGAGGGTGGGCTGAGGTGTTGATGAATGGGTGGGTGAAGGAAATAGGGAGGATTTTTTGTGAAAAACAATGTATTCAAACTTTGTAAACAAATCAGTACAAAATTTAAAAAAACACACAAATCAAACGAAAACAATTACGTTCCAGACAATATGCTCAAATGCTGAAGATAATGCTTCCCATTGTGAGCACTAGAAGTGCCACCGTTGACTTATGCTAAAACTGCCATGACAAGTCTATGTCAACAGGAAGTGTCAAGGAAGACAAAGTCCCCCAAACAAATGAGGCCTGGAGGGGGGTAAAAATACTAAAACTGTGTCACAACAAAGGCAGCTAATACTTTTTTCCCTTCTGTTTTGCTTGCAGATAATAAATACAATTCTGTTCTTCTGGAAGTACCATTACATCATGATTCCAGGATGGTTATAAGAAGCAGCTCAGAAGTCACGGTCTGTACTTCTATGCAGTGGGCTTGTCAAAGAAATTCAGCATGCTCCCTGTAAAGAATTTGTGTGAAACAAGTTTCTCCATTTTAATGCATAAAAATTATCTCTCTGTGAACTGATCTTTTATAGGGTCTCTGAGTCTACCATCTCCTTTTGTCACATTCTGCAACATGTTAAGTATTTTACAATATTAATTATTTGTATTATCCTAAATGCAGACTCATTAAACACTGTGTTCTAGGGTCTACTCAGCTCCTAAAACCCCATTTCAGTTTGAAATGCATAAAGAAGATACCAATGCTGTTCACATTAAAACATGCCTGATTGGCTTATGTGTAGGTATCAGTGTCCGTTTTGTGTGCTGAAGCTACATTTTATACTCTGCATTAGTGCCACTGTGTAATAAATACAAGTGCATGTAACTTGTGGTGAGTTTAATTCAGTCTACTTAACCCTGTTCTCAAGTCAGTTTTCAGTTTTGCTTAGATTTTCTTCCTCAGACATACTGGTTGAACTGTTAAATGAGCAAACACAGTGAATTAAAAAAATAGAAATCTTTTATTACAATAAAATCTTATCTCCTGCTATTGACAATTGTTTTCAATCTAAATATCCATGCCTATAAAAATCATAATCATAGTTAACTTTTTAACTGTTAGCACAGCAAGTTTATATTGATCTGCAGGATGATCTGTATGTATTAACCTCCTCTGTCAGCATTTGTTATATAATAACTTGGTAGCAGCAGCAGCAGAATTCATCTTTCTTATAGGTACAAATATTTAAAAGGAAGATAATAATAACAACAAAGCCTTGCTATAAATGACAACTTGGAATTACAAAGTAATGTTTCTAGGTTCTAAACAAAAAGCTGCTGCTTCTTTTTCTTTTCTCTTCTCTTCTCTTCTCTTCTCTTCTCTTCTCTTCTCTTTTTTCTTTTCTTTTCTTTTCTTGTAGGAGTGAGGGCAAAAAGTAGGTGTTGCCTACTAAAATCTCCAAAATATACTCAGGTACATCAGTGTAAATTCCATTTTGTAAATTGTGACAAGAAAGAAAACTCATGAAAACTTTAGTTACAATCTCAAAAACAAAAACTCAAACTCTTTGCTGTTGAGTTGTAGGTCGCTTTCAGAACTGACCACCCAGCCAGTCTCTGGAGACTTTAAATTGCACAAGAGGAGACTGCTCACCTTCCTCCCTTGGAGACACTAGTGTCTTCGAACTACCAGAGAGGGTTCACCTATATGGGGTGGTAGCTCAACTCCCCACAGACTATACCATCAGAGACTTAGGATATACATCATGAGTCATAAACACATGTGACCATATCTGCTTAAGTTCATTACACTAAAACTTTACGAATTCTGTTCCTCGGTCCATGTTTTAACTATTGAGCATTTATCTAGCAGTTACTTTGTCCAAACTGTTCAAATAGAGGACAGATGTGTTATGACAGGAATCTGGAGAATATGGTGTTAGCTTTCTGACGGTATATTGTTGCTGCAACCCATTGAATTAGAACAGACTCACAGGTGACTCCCAACAGGTCTCAGAGGCAGTAAAATTGCAGTTCGGCATGGATCATTATACATTTAGATTCTAAAGCAGTCTCTGATATACATTATTAATAGATATTTGATAAATAAGTTTTTAATCAAATGGTTCAGAGCTTGATTTCTCCCTTCTATACTCAGTAGAATTCTAAAAATCATACCATTATTCCAAAACTTAGAAACATATGCAATGAAAACCCATTGATTTTTATAATTATAGGAATTTATGTAAATGAAATTGTGTGCCACTTTAATGTATATTTCTATATCAATATTCCTCAAAAAGTGTGATGACAGCTTTACCTAACTCTTGTGTTTTGATTTTTTCCTCAATTGAACTAATACTTCTTATACTCCAATCTTCAGACGCTTGGGCAGAAGGTGAAGACCTGTATAATGTAAAAAGAGTCATCAGTTAGTAAAGGAAGGATCTACTAAAATTAGTGAAACAACTTTTAGGTTACTCTCTTACATGGAATTTTAGAATGTTTATGTTGATATGTTACATGTGATATATGTTATGATGTGGTATGATACATGTTATTTGCTGTTGTTGGTAGGCTCTCTCTCACTATGATTCATAGTGATTCTATGAATGACAGATCTGAATATACATATATGACAGTGGAGATTAAACAGTAATATTTTCATAAGTCTCATGTTTTACATTTCATGGTAAATTAATATAAATTTGAGTTTTATTTTAAAATGATTGGGATTTTAAACAGTACTAAGGTAGTATTTTTTTTTCCATTTTTGTGAAATCAGCCTTTTCTGGAATGAGCATTTATCTTCAAAAGAATGAGATTTCTGAAGCATATGAGGACTACACATTTTTCTGAATTCAGTTTAACAGGCTAAGGACTAAAAATGACATTTCTATAGGAATTTGGTTTTCACTCCATCTTTAGAAAAATATCTGAATTAAATTATTGTTTCTCCATTCTTATTCTGCAATTTTAGACTAGTCTTTATAGTGTGTAAAAGGAATTACTTTTCTTCTAATCACAGTTTGGCATTAATGATTTTATTACCAGAGATATGAGACAATCAGTACCAACGGTAGATCAGATTATCTCTTTAATTTTTATGAAATTACTATATCTTATTAATTATTTAAGAAAACTATAAACAAAAATGAATAATATTTGAAATCAAGATATTAAGGACTTGAACAGACCAGAGGGCAGCATCGGAAGACAAAGTAAAGTATTGCAATGAAATGTGCGAGGATCTGGAGTCAGAAAATTAAAAGAGCCAAACTTTCTCAGCATTTCTTAAGCTGAAACTGAAGAACAAATTCAAACCTTGATGAGCAATATTTAAGGATGTTTTGGGCAGAATAGAAAATGATCCAGGAAGCATTTTATAAAAAGATGGAAAGAGTTTAACAGGGTCATTGTACCAAAAGGAATTGGTGGACACAGAAGAATTTCATGAAACAACTTATGAGCAAGAGCCTGTGGTGATAAAGGAAGAAGTTCAAGTTGCTCTGAAAGAATTGGCACAAAAAAAACCTCCAGGAATTTGATGGCATACCAATTGACATATTTCAACAAACAGACGCTGCCCTGGATGTGCTCACCAAGTTGTGCCAAGAAATCTGGAGGACAACAAACTGGTCAACTGACTGGAAGAGATCTATATTTGTTCCCATTCCAAAGAAAGGTGATCTGACAGAGTGTGGAAATTATCAAACAGTATCATTGACGTCACATGCAAGCAAGATTCTGCTGAAGATTATCCAAAAACAACTGGAACAGCACATCAACAGAACTCCCTGAAGTGCAAGGCTGTACTTACAATAGGCCGTTGCACAAGGATATTATAGCTAATGCCAGGTGGCCTTGGCAGAAAGCAGGAATGTCTATCTGTGTTTCATTGACTATGCAAAGACATTTGACTGTGTGGATCACAACAAACTGTAGCTAACTCTGAGAAGAATGGAAATCTCAAAACACTTGATTGTGCTTATGCAAAACCTATACTTGGACCAGGAAGCAGTCATTAGAACAGAGCAAGGAAACACTGCATGGTTCAAAATTGGGAAAAATGTATGTCAAAGATGTGTCCCATATCCATATCTTTTCAATTTGCAAACAGAACAGATTATTCAGGGGCCTGAGCTGTATGAGGAGAAGTAAGGCATCAGGATTGGAGGTAGACTCATCAACAATCTGTGTTATGCAGTTATGAAATCCTGCTTGTTAAACTGAGAAGGAACTGAAGTGCTTGCTGCAGAAGACCAAGGAGTGCAGCCTTCAATATGTATTGAAGTTCAACATCAAGAAAACAAAGATTCTCACCATCGGGCCAGTTGTCTGTATCATGACAGAATGGTGAAGAGATTGAGATTGTTCCCAGCTTCAGTTTGCTTGGCTCTACAATCAGCACTCTTGGAACCAGTAGCCAGGAAATTAAAAGATGAGTTGCAATGGGAAAGTCAGCTGTCAGAAATCTCTCCAAAGTATTGAAGAACAATGATGTCAGTCTGATCACTAAAGTGTCATGGTCTTTACAATTACTTGCTATGCATCAGAGAGCTGGACAATAACTAGGGATGATAGAAGGAGAGTTGATGCCTTTGAGCTTTGGTGCTGGAGAAGAGTATTGAATATACCATGGACTGCTAGGAGAACAAACAAGTTTGTCCTGGAGAAGGTGAAAACAGGCTGCTCCATGGAGGCAAGGATTCTGAAGCTCCACCTGACATACTTTGGACATGTTGCAAGGCAGAATCAGTCCTTGGAAAGGGACGTAATGCTTGGGAGGGTGGAAGGACAGCACAGGGAAAGGAAGGCCCTAGATGAGACGGATTGATTCAGTCACTGGGGTAATGGGAATAGATGTGTCAGAAACAATAAGATTGGCAAAGGATAGAACAGGGTTTAGGACTGTTGCACATAGGGTTGCTATGAGTTACAGGTGACTTTATGGCACATAATAGCAAGAACAACATGTTCATTTAAATTTTCATAATTATCATAGAAGACCATCTATTTAGACTTCAATTTTTATAAAATTAAGATGATAATAATAATAATAATAATGCTTTAACCACATATTATTATTTTCTATATATTTTATTGTCATTAAATACTTTTAATAGCATTAACTTTCTAAACAACATGCCTCTGGAAACTCCAAGAATTTTAAGAAAATATACTATTAGAAAGGTTTCACATCGTTGTTTATAGGGTCGTTATGAGTCATGCTAGACTCAATGGCAATTAACAATAACAACAACAAATACTTTTAATAGCTACATAGTATTTGATTTTTTTAACATCCTATTGTTTATTTAGAAAATCCTTCTGTTGTTGTTGTTGTTGTTGTTATGTGCCATTGAGTCGTGTAGTTTCTTCCTTAGTTTTGATTTTTATTTAAAAATATTAAGTTAAATAATGTGAAGTCTTTTTCTCTGTGATTAAAAAATAATTAAATATTGTTCCAGCATCAATTACTGAGCAAGTTTTTTCCTGTTGATTTTAATCCAAATAAATTAATTATACTTTATCTTCTAAGATTCATTCATCTTGCTTTTAAATTACAATAATTCTGTTTTAACTCATATTTTCTAATTAATTTTCATGAACATTTACAGAGATTTTGGATTTGCATTCATTCATTGTTGCACTCTTCTTTCCCCCGCCCCCAAGTTCACTCTTCTCTTTGAAAAGTAAAAGAAAAATTTCTTCATTGGTATACAATCCCCCCAGCATCCTCCACCTCCTCCCCCCACCCAGAGTGTTCTCCACTCTGCAACCTTCATTCCGGACTCTTATGATAATCATAATACCCTATATATAATATATTGCTTTTGAACTGTTCTCTCTCTCATCCATTTCAATATTAACTCACATTTTTAAAGATGTATTTTAAGATTGTTGTTGCTGTTGTATACTATAAAGTCAGAACCAGCCCATAGCTGACCCTCCAGTGGGTTTTCAGAGGCAGTAAATCGCATGGGAGGAGATTGCCTATCCTCCCACGGAGCAGCTGGTGGTCGTGAACTACATGCAGGACAGCTTCTTACCACTAGGCCACCAGAGCTCCCTTATATTTTTTATTAGCTGTGGAAAATTGTGCTTTCAATCTAATATATCTTTTGAAGAAAAACGATTCTCTAAAGCAGCCTATTAATAATTTCATTATGAAAAATAGATTATAAAACAAGCAGAAACAGTTCTTACCATTTTTTAAGTCCTGCTCCAAACTGTGAAAATAAAAAAAAAAATCCCAATAAAAATCAATTTTAAGCATCATAAAAATTGAGTTAATTTACACATGAACTCAATGGTAATTTCATGAATAATCTCTTTTATATATGTCGATCTTAGTAAACTCTGACTTCCCATACTGGTCTTCTGTTATTATCTGTTCCTATTTATTCTCTTCTTTCATCTCTGTTTCTAAATCTTATTGTTCCATCAGAAGAAAATCCTAATGCTACTTCTTCCTAAAAGACTTTTCACACCATCAAATATGCACAAGAGGAGAGAGATGTTTATGGTGCAACAAAGCCGTTATCATTTTCACATTCGTCACCTGTACAGTTCAGTGTAGCTTCAGTGTATTCATTAGATTGTGCAACCTTCAACATCACCTTAATAGAATGTTTCTTTCTCTATGTTAACCTTTCCTGTAGTTTAGATAGTAGTTGCCTCATATAATATTTGTAATTTGGTGATTGATTAATCTCTCACCTTGTAACATTATCTACGTTTAACCATTGTTTCATTGTAATTCTTTAAAGTTTCATATTAATACTCCATTGTATATACATAGTATAGCTTATCAATTCTTCCATTGATAAGCATTCAAGTTGTTTCCATATTTTGGCTATTGTGAATAATGCTTTAATGAATATAAGCAGGCATATGTGTTTCATGGTGCTAATTTCTCTGGAATATATACCTAGTCATGAGGTTTGTAAAACACATGATATTTATATTTCCAGTTTATTTTAAGGAAGGTCATACAATTTCCCAGAAACATTTTAAAATTTTATCATTACTAAAGACTTAGTATATCATTTTCAATTTAGCATTGATGGAAAAGTTGAAAACAGAACAAAGTTGGAAAAAATAAAGCCCAACACAACAAAAAGAATAAAACAAAGTCTTTAGTAATGATAATGATCATTTAGTAATGACCATTGTTTTAATTAGCATCTTGGGCAAGCAAAGCAGGTCACATGACTTTGCTTTACAATAGTGAGGAGAGCCTGAAACACTTACTTATTACAGAAGGTAAAAGACCACAGCCTTCAATATGGATTACATCTCAACATCAAGAAAATAAAAATCCTTACCTCTGGGCCAGTATGTAACAACTGATAGATGGAGAGAAGATTGAAGTGGTTAAGAATTTATTCATACTTGTATCCAGTATCAAGGCCCTTGGTAACAGCAGTCAAGTATTAAAAAAATTGTGTTGTGTTGGGAATGTCCATTCTCAGGGACATCTCCAAGGTACTGAAAATTAGCATTACAAGTTTGAGAGCTAAGGTGCTCCTCATTCAAGCCATGGTCTTTGCAACTGTTTTCTATACTTATGAAAGCTGGGCAGTGACTAAGGATGACAGTAGAAAAATTGATGTCTTTGAATTATGGTGTTGAAGAAGAGAACTGAATATTCCATGGACTGCTAAAAATCTCAACACATTTGTCTTGGAGAAGGTAAGCCAGGATGCTCCTTGGAAGGAAGGATAATGAAACTCCATAATACGTAAGGGAGTGGAAAAAAAAAAACATCCAACAAGTCAATAGTTACTTTGCTGAGAATATTCCCAGTAACATAATAGGGAGAAAATTGCAATTCCAATTAACTGAATCAGTAACTGCAAGGTGAAGAGCTGAAGATACTAAATTTGGTTTTGTTGTTATTTTGTCCTGCCAAGTAGGCTCCAATTCTCAGCAACCCAACTGCAACATGCAAACAAAACACTGCAGAGTCCTGCACTGTCCTCACAGTGACTGCTGATGGAGAAGCAGTACGAAGGTGATGGGTTAGTAATCAGGTGACGGATTCAGAAGTTTGAACAAAAAATGGGAAAGACAGGAGTAGTCTCTGCAGAACAGAGAAAGTTCTTGTTAATAAACGGAAAAAATATAGAGCATTCTTAAAGATATCTTTGAAGTGGGAAGTCAAGAACTCATACTATGCCAGTTTTTATTATGTAACATTCTCCAGTGCTTCTTCAGCAATTCTATAGGAGCAGTAGAGATGGTTGGCAGCAGATAGATCAAAGTTGGCAGCTAGTAATATCTGAGGACCATTAGGGAAAATAAATAGAGGGCCAGATCCACTGATTGATGGGTGCTCTAAACATGAATTGATTTGTAAAGAAACCAAAGCAAAACAGGACACAGTTGATTTGTCACTTATAGAGGAGGGGGGGAAAGTATAATTACTAGCATGAGAAATCTCAAAGTATCAGAGATTTATTAGAGTTCAATGATTAAATGTTCACTCACTTACTCTTTGCCAGTGAGTTGGAATTGACTCAGGGCTGACTTTCTCGCAGGTTTTCAGGGGAAATCCTTGGAGGCAAGGATTCTGAAGCTCCATCTAACATACTTTGGACATGTTGTAAGGAGGGACCAGTCCTTGGAGAGGGACATCATGCATGGGATGGTGGAGGGACAGCACAGGAGGGGAAGGCCCTCTGTGAGGTGGATAAATTCAGTGACTGGGATAATTGGGATGGGTATATCAGTTGAGATTGTACACAGCTTTAGTTTGCTTGGCTCCACAGTCAACAGTCTTGGCACCAGCAGCCAGGAAATTAAAAGGTGCATTGCCATGGGAAAGTCTGCTGTTAGGGACCTCTCCAAAGTACTGAAGAGCAATGGTGTCTCTCTGGAGGCTAAGGTGCGTCTGATACAGGCCATGGTCTTCGCAATCACTTGTTATGCATCAGAGTGTTGGACAATGACCAAGGAGGATAGAAGGAGAATTGATGCCTTTGAGCTGTGGTGCTGGAGAAGAGTATTGAGAATACCATGGACTGCTAGGAAAACAAACAGATTTTTCCTGGAAAGGGTTAAGCCGGGTGGCTCCTTGGAGGCAAGGATTCTGAGGCTCCATCCAACATACTTTGGACATGTTGTGAGGAGAGACTGGTCCTTGGAGAGGGACATCAAGCTTGGGAGGGTAGAAGGACAGCGCAGGAGAGGAAGGCCCTCTATGAGGTGGATTGATTCAGTGACTGGGATAATTGGGATGGGAGTGTCAGAGACAGTGAAATTGGCACAGGACAGAGCGGAGTTTAGGGCTGTTGTACATAGGGTCGCTATGAGTCGCAAGCGACTCGACGGCACATAACAACAACAACAACAACAACTTATTGGAGATGGTGTGATTGGCACAGGACAGAGTTTAGGACTGTTGTACATAGGGTCGCTATGAGTTGCAAGCGACTTGATGGCACATAACAACAACTACACCAACATACATCAGATAGGAGGAAAGTGCCCATGTCTCTCTCCCGTGGAGTTCCTGGTGGATTTGGACCACCAGCTCTAGATTGGCAGCACAACTATTCATTAGGACACCAGAGCTCCCCTGATGAAATATTGGGCTTTAGAATGAGCATAAATATAAAATGCCAAAAACAGAGAAAAGTTTTCTAATACAAATTATGAGCATTTTAGGCTCACACTTTTCTGTCCTCTTAGCCAACACACTATCAGGGACAGATGCCATAAGATAGTGAAGAACACAGGTCTCAGACGGGCTTGGTCTGGATGTTAGCTCTGCCACTGACTGTGTGATCTTCAGAAACTGTCAATCTCCTGAATCATTCTGAATAAATTACAGAGGTCTGTAATTAGGGATAATGCTAATCTCTACCTAGCAGGGTTTCAGAAAGGACTCAAGAAAAGTATGCATAGTAAGTATTTACTACAGAAATCACATGATAAATATTAGCTTCATTGTAATGTCTCTTAATACCACTGTTTTATATATTATAACTATTTTAAAGCATACTTTCTAAATATTCTCTCTATGCCCTTCTCTCAAACTATGATGGCATCCTAATGACTTGTATTGATTAAATGAAGAGGAAAATTGCAATTCAGTAAAGATCAGACCAAATTAAATGATCTATGGCCTGGGCAGACGAAGGGAATGAAGTAGGGGAGGAAGGTAAAATTTCTCTTTGTGATTATTTCCATCCTTCTTCAGGGTTTTCTCATTCCTTGGGTGGGGGTGGGGAACCCAGCAAAAACAAACCCATAAAAAGTACTTTCATAGTAATTCTTCTCAGAAGAGTTTGTGGTTTGTTTGGGTTTTATTCCAAAATTCAGTATTAAATTACAATCAAACTGCCTTGACTGTATTCACCCATTCTGGTAAATGCATCTTTCCTCTTGACAGCCTCCTTGGCGCAGATTCTTACTACAATAAAAACTACTATGATCTAATTAGTGGTGCTGTGTGTGGTGGCATCAAATCAAACTCATGGAGACTAAGTGTGACAGCATGGAACCCACACATAATGTATCCTTTGCTGTAACCTTTTAAAAAAATTATTTTATACTGGTTTATATACAAAGTTCATAAAGTTCATATACATTGTTTTTCACACAACCTTTCCCCTTTTCCTAGCTCCAACCATCAAACTATGCGACCCTATGTTCAAGCCCTTCACCCACCTCTTTGGATCCTCATACATGCTCTACAGTAACACAGTACAAAAATACAGAATACAGTCTTTTGTCTTGATGAGACTGAGTTAGTTCACTTAGTGTCTGTCCTTTGCTGCAATCGTAACCAGAATAGATCAGCAGTTCTCCTCCCTCTTCAACTGAGCACCTCAGAGCTGCTGGGTGAGCCTGACTTCAGTTAACGCTGAGCATTTGACCACTGTGCTGGACAAATTCATTGTAATCAGGTCACTCTCTCACTTGTTAAACAAGTGTTTGTGTCACAAAGGATGCAACATCTTGACCATTTCCTTGAAAAGTTTATCTAATAAGTTACTATCCTGATTGAAAACAAACAAGGTACCATTCTCAAAAGAAACCCAGCATCCCTACCCCTGTGCTTAGGTAACTTGAGTCAAAGCCAGCTCGTAGCTGACCCTCCAGTGGATTTTCAGGGGCAGTAAATCTCACAGAACATCTGACGTATTCAAACAGCCTACCTTTGGATTGGATATGCAAATCCTTACTTTAAACCAGCAGAACTCCTTACCCTGAAAAACCA